ACCCTTCAGGTAAATGCACCCGCAAAAAATGTTTTTCCTGTTTCTGCCCTGAACTTCCCTTTTCCCATCACAGACAGGTGAATCGTCTCAAACAGAAACTGTCTCTGAGGAGAACAAGAGCCTGATGTGGATCCTAAAAAAAACAGCTGCGGCCTGGCATGGACCTGTCACGGGTGGTGCTGCCCACCTTCATCCTGGAGCCACGCTCATTCCTTAACAAACTCTCTGATTACTACTACCATGCTGACCTGCTTTCCCAGTAAGCAGGGTGCAGAGCGTGTCTGACATGGGCACTTTTCTTATATTTGTGAAAATATGTAACAGTTGGTGCTGGATGGGGTGCGTCTGTATGCTTGAAAGGCTCCCAAATTATACCCAGATCGCTGGATTCAATGTAAATCAAGCCAGGTGCTAGCTGCAGTGACCTTTTAAGGATGGACTGCTGCCAGTGAGGGGCAAGGAAAACAGTTAAACTTCAGACAAAACTACCTTTGCAGATGCACATGTTTGCCAGCATTGACTGGAACTGATAGGGGATTCAGCTCACACCAGCATTGGCTGGGACTGATGGGGATTCAGCTCATGCCTTTGAGCATCTTGCAACAGAGCTGTGCCACCTTCTGGTGTACTCATGCACAGAGGGGGATAGGACAGAGAGCACACAGAATTGTCAACCACTTCTGCCCCCAAAAGCAATATAATTATGTTGGTTGATAAACAAATAAGAAACATCTTTTAACACCATTGATGAGAGAGACCTGCTGGGAGCAGCAGAGTAGAAAATAGAAAATGTTATGCTTGCAAATAGGACCAGCCTTCTCAATGAGATATGCCTGGTGTATTTTAAAACCAGTGTGGACGATATTCAAATAGCAGCACTAGTTACTCATGTTTATTCCACTGCCTCTGGGTAATTTTAGAATCATCGTATTTTCAAGCCTTTTTTGTGGTATTTGTAACATCTGAAGGAAATGGTTCTCCTCAGTGCTGAGATCTAAGAAAAATGCAAGAGGTTTGGAGGTTTTGTTAAATAAACCTCTTTGTGGTGCAGATGATCTTTCTAAATGGATTTTGCAAGTAGTTATCCAGGTTGATTTTCAAATCTGACTAACTGGTTGGAAATACCAGGAACTCTATTTTTCATGTTTACTTCCCACTTCATCTTTGAGTGGGGAGGGGTGGGATGCACTGACCTTGAGAAGTCCCTTCCACCTAAATAGTTGTGTCAAATCTCAAAGTACTGAAAGAGGCCGTGTAGCACATCAGCTTTAAAGATCTTTTAAGGAAGAGGAAAACAAAGAAAAAGAGGGAAAAATAGAATTGTCTTTGATTTTGGTGGCATAAGTATTACTGTTTTCATGACTCACACTGTACTATTAGCTGTAACTAAATGCTAAGGTGAGTGGCAGTCCCACATTAACATACTCCAATGTCCAATCAAGCCTCATACACTCCACAAATCTTATTAGGCTTTTTGCAGGAGTGCAGGGCAAGGGATGCCATTTCTTAAGAGTTTACATGTGTGTTGTATGATGTATGTTACTAAAAAAAATTATTTCTGCCGGCAGACATCTTTTTAACTGGCAGCAGCACAGAAGTTACTTCCCTTTAGTACTGAGGAAATACTATTGAAATTAATGTTATTGTTATACTAGTATGAAATGAATGTGATGTGTGAAGAGTATAAAGAGCATTTTATGTTCTGTCCCACAGGGCTGTCCTTGAAGATGATCCATACAGTCGAATGAAGCAAGTTTTGAGGTGGTATCTGTCCGGCTTCTATAAGAAGCCAAAGGTAAAAGAATACATGAAGTTGGGGTTGTAATGGGCACTGAAATCTTCTGCTGTGATTGTGTATTTCTTTATTGCCTTTCCTTTGACACTTTACGTCTTCTATTGTTCATAAGACTTTGACTATTACTTTTAAAACTGAAGTGGCATTTGCTTTCAGAGTAGATACTGAGTGCAAAATAGTGTTGATCAACCTCAGAGCCTTTGCACTGGTCAGTTAGAAGGCAAAACTAGTCATCAACAAATAACATGTCCTCAGATGCAAGATTTTTCCCTTTGCTGAAAGCAAGTCTCCTTTCTCTTTTCAGGTCTATTAGTACCATAGTGCTATGTTCCCAGATCAGTATGCACCTGCTGCATATAACAGCAGAAATAGTAAAGTTTGATCATCTTGTAAAGCTTTGATCAGGCAGTATTGAAGATTAGGTTGGTCAGAATAGCAGATGAATCCATGGCTCAGATTAAAAGATTAGATTAGAAGGATATATGTAACCAGTTCTTCAGTTTTGATTCTTACGACTGACTTAGTTTAAAACATCAGGGAGAAAATTATTATGCTGGTTTGTGGCCATCTCTGTAGAGCTGGATGCAAATCTTCATTTGTAGCAGGTTTTGATTACTTTGTTTTTCAGGGAATAAAAAAGCCATACAACCCTATTCTGGGAGAGACGTTTCGCTGCTGTTGGTTTCACCCTCAGACAAACAGTCACACATTTTACATAGCAGAACAGGTACGTCGCTTTATTTGGATGCTCAGGTGTTGCCTGCTTGTACCTCCATGCATAAGAACACGCTCCTCATCTCACCCTAGAAGAACTTGGAGTTTTGTGTAAACATCCAGAGTGGGACATGGGGGAAACTAGCTGCTGATCTTTCTTTGTTTTAGATTTGCAGAGATTATGTGAGCTTTGGTGGGCACTCAGGACTATAAAAGCAGATCTCCCATATATAACAATAGCCTATTCAATAAAGAATGAATATCCATGAATATCTCCATGGGGTTCTGCCCTACTGTTTTCTTATTGTTAATAAAACATGGTTTGCGTTGCCTCTGTCAAAAGGGGCATAAAACATGTAACCAAATGCTTTCTTTCTAAGCTTTCTATAATGATTTTAATAGGAGTAAACTGAGGGCTTATCTCTATGTCGTTGGGGATAAATGAAGGGCAAAGCTCACAAGTAAACTGGCCTGACAAAATTTAGTTTGAGATTTACAGTGTTAATAAAGGGATCTGAGGACCGTGTGGACTTTGGTACAGGGACTCCCTGTTTTGCATACATTTTTCTCCTGTTTAATCAAAGAATTTTTATTTTGTTTAATTTTATTTCAGCCATGGCATCCATTTTGTGGAGGATATTCAGATACTGACAAAAAGTTCTGCACTGTCATTTATTGTGTTGAAAATCTAACAGTGTACCTGTTGGCCTAAAAGTAATCTCAAATGCACAAGGACAAGAAAATACAGGGAGGGGCAGAAAGTTTACATATATAATGTTCTCACATACAATGTTCTCACATATAATGTTGCCTCCTTTAACATTGAAGTTAATGGTACGGATGGGACTTAGAGGACTCTGCTTAGGCCTGCAGCCTCCGTCTTGCTCTTTCCGTAGAGCCTGTGTAAGACCCTGAGGGGCTGCGTATGCACCCACTGCTCTGCTTAGCCTGTAAAGACAGCTATAAATGACCTGTGCCTATTTTTCCGCTAGGTCTCCCATCATCCGCCAGTGTCAGCTTTTCATGTCAGCAATAGGAAGGACGGATTCTGCATTACTGGCAGCGTTCTAGCTAGGTCCAAGTTTTATGGTAAGGCATTAAGCCTAGGCATCTTCCAGGTAACATCGTGGCATTGGTTTTGGTTTGTTTTTCAGTCACTCCTGAGTGTGTTGAGACTTAAGAACAAAGAAATGCTTAAGAGATCTACCACTAGTACACCCTCATTCTTTGTCTTGGCTCCCCTGGGTTTTCCCCATTTTCCCCACTTTACTGATGTTAAAAAAAAAAAAAATCAGATAGAAAAATGGAGAGCTTTAAAAACCTGGTTCTCAGAAAGCAAAGGTTCATGAAAATGTATGGGCAATTGGTTGTCAGACTACTTTGCATATGCTCACGGATGAGTCACTTCATAGCTATCTGATCATCCAACTGATTTTTGCAAAAATCTCTGCATAAATGTAACCATTTATCTAGCACAACTGCAGGCTCTGAAACAGTGTTGCTATTTGAAATAGGTGGGGGTTTTTTAGACAAACACCTCGTAAGTACTGTCTTCTGGTAAATGTATTTGCTGAAACACTTGTAAATAGTCATCGCTGTCCTGGCAGTTTTGTTATTTGGGATCATACACAATCAGAAAAGTTGTGAGAACAGAAGGACCTGAAAACTTTTAAGCATTGGAACTGCTTTATGCATCCCACTAATGACTTAGTTAATCTTCTGCCCTTTCTGCAGCAGGGCTAAATGCCAGACCAAATATGAGCCATACAGCAGAGAGTTTATTAGAACTGCCTGCCTCCAACAGTAAATGATTTGCAGGGTTCTGAATTATTAGCATTTCATCTCTCTTCTTTCATTAGTGACCTACATTTAAATGGAAATGTCTTTCTAAAGTAGGATGAGTGACCAAGCATAACATGCCTTTTTTAATATACATGTATTTGTTCTTTTAAATTCTAGGTAACTCACTTTCTGCACTGTTGGATGGGAAAGCAAAGCTTATGTTTCTAAACAGGGGAGAAGATTATGTAATTACTATGCCATACGCCCACTGTAAAGGTAAGTTATGACTGATCAAATAGGAAGCAAACAGAAGGAATAATATAATGCTATCTTACTAACTTTGCACTGGCTCTCTTCTTCCCTCTCGAATACCTAGCATGGAAGGGACTGGTAATTCCAGGGACCAGTTGCTTCTCACGAGTCATAGCACTCAGCAGAAGACTGGTAATCTTCCCTGAAGTCTTTTTGATTTGTCTGTGCAGAGCTGAGGACAGAATTAGGCCTATCTAAGTTAGTTAACTATGTAGAAACAAAAGAAAAAATACCACGTATATGCACTGCAGATAAAGTGAAGATGGAAAGAATAAGAGTACATTTCTGAGTTGCTGAGGATAAACAGGTTTTCTAAAGTTAACACTGAAATTGTTTAACAGATTTTCTGGCTTTTTGAGAATGAAGGAAATTTCTGACTTCTCTTCTGATTTCTTTGTCAGTCTACTCATAATATTCTTCAGTGTATAAGCTGCCTCAGTATGGCTGATACCTGTTAACTGTGTGGCTTTGCTTTGTTGAGCTGAATGTGCACTGAGTCCAGGGGATGGCTGCTGATTCACTGCTGTAACTTTGCGTTTCTCCGTAGGAAGCTAAGCATTGGTGGCATTTCAGCCACCGTGATAAAATCTCTGCAGCAGTTTGATCCATTTTTGGTTTTTGAATACTTTTTATTTTGGTATGTTGACCTCTAAGTTAATATTTATGGAGGGTCTAGCTACCTGAAAACATTAACTTCTGTAAATCACGCCCTCTGAGAACTGTTCCTGTACATCAATCTTTCTCTTGCCAACCTAACCTCTCCTCTCCTCTCCTCTCCTCTCCTCTCCTCTCCTCTCCTCTCCTCCTGCTGACCCTCTTTTCTCCCCTGGGAAGCAGACTGGGTGTTTGGACAAGGGGAGGTTGGAGGTGAGGAGCTCCCCTCGCCGCTGCGCTCCTCTCCTCTCCCCTCCCCCCCTCCCCGCCCCTCCCCTCCCCTCTCCTTTTCAAATGACCTATTCAGAAAATGGTAAGCCTGCGCAAAAAGGAGTCCCCTACATGACTGCTAGTCTCCCAGATTCTGCTGAATCCCGTTACAGCTCCTCTCTGCCCCATCCACCCTGTGAGAAGCGACTCACTAAGCACTAGTATAAATGAAGTTGCTGGGCACAACTTGCCTTATTTTTTCTTTCCCACTTTCAGCTTGCCACAGGTGTCGTATCAGCACCTGCGAGTTAAGCTATTTCCTAACTAGTGTAATAAATGGGGAATGTGGACTCAGAGGAGTATTCTTCATGCTTATAGTAAAGAGCCATTTCCCAGAAACTTTGGTTTCTGTCTTTTCAAAAATTTAAGCCAAGTAGTGAATTTCACAGAGTGTCAGTGAGAGCCAGTTTGAGTTGAGAAAGCAGATCACTTCCATTGGGGCCTCTCTTAAGCCTCTTTTTTCCCTTTCAGGACTTTTATACGGTACCATGACAATGGAGCTTGGAGGGAAAGTTACCATCGACTGTGAAAAAACCAACCACAGGGCAGAACTGGAATTCAAGCTGAAGGTAAGAGACATTGTGGCCCCCATTTTGAATGGGTCTCAGGCTTGCCCCTGCACTGCAGGCAAGGTTTGACCATACACACCAGATCATTTATGTACCAGCAATGTATGCATGCACCACGGGGTGGCCTACCCAGAGAGGAGGCATCATCCTGCAGTCAGTTTTGCACCAGGAAGCCTGAGTTTTACACATGACTTGTTCACTGCCAGCCAGCTGGCTACTGGCCAAACTCTTCTGAATATTTGGCAATGACAGTGTGGCTTCTGTTTAGGAAGGTACAATTATTTTTGCTTGAAAAATACAGCCAGGTGTACAAACTACTTTGAGGCAAGTTAAGATACGGGTCTTCAGCATAGCCCTCCAGTAGACATCACATACTTACTCTTACCTTGCAGGTATTACAGTGAACTGTACCTTGTGTTTCTTAGGGCTACAGGGCCTTGCCTTGATGGTAGGGTAAGAGCCCTTTTTCAGGCAGATCATTCTGAGTGGCTATCACACTGATGAGCCGCACCGTCATTGCCTTGTACTGAATTGTTCAGGTAGCTATTCCCTCCCCTAGAAAGCCTGGTGATGCAAATTTATGGTATGCAGATAAAATGGAGACATATTTGAGCATTCCTGTAGTTATATGTGTTAAAATTTGGGAGGGAAAGTTATGACCTGTAACTTTTCTTGGACAGTTAACTTGTTTTTTAAGGAGCATCATTTCTCTTCTGTTCCGACAAACAATTTCTTGCCGGGCATAAAATGAAAAATGAAGAACTGAGAGCCTGCAGGACTTCAGAGTTGCAGCCTTGGCCCACATAAATGTGAGAGATTACTGGAGTTAGAGGAGTCTTTTGCAGGCTGCATTTTTCTGGGGGCAATAAGAATTTTCCGTCTTTATTTGCCCGTACAAAGTGAACTGTTTCCCCATGTACTTCCTTGACATTTGCATATACTTGTCTTTAAGGGCTGTTTTTCCCATAGGCCTGATGTACTGTGTCGAGGCCAATGGAATATTTCCCTGACTTTGGTCACTGTCATCTCAAACCTACAAACACTTCAGAGGTTAAAATGCAGACTCTTCTCTTCTGGCTTGAAAACAAAACACTAGTCCAAACATGACTCAGAAAAGTCCCCGTGGATTAATTACATGCTCTACTTTGAATATTTCTTAGTCAACTTTTTTAGTAGAATTGTGAGAAGTTAACCCCCATAACTTTGTATTAATTTGGATATGTACCAATTCTCTGCTGGATTGCATACACTGGTTCTTGAGATACTTGTGATTTCTTTTTCCATGAGTGTTGTGGGAAATGTGGGGTTATATTGTTATTTAGAAAAAAAAGTTCTTCTGCATAAATGTTATTGGAAAGTAGCTGCTAAAATGTTTGAAGAAATGTTGTATGGTATGAATGGAAGAGCTGGTCACTCTATCTCTGCTGTTTCCTGTGTTTGGCAGGCAGGAGGTGAGGGGAATTTTCCATTGTTCTGAGAATCTTTTCCTTGGCTCTGGAAAAACCCTTTTTCTTTTTTTGTTTGCTGCTGACGAGAGCTTCTTCACACTGGAGACTTCACGCAGATGCAGCCATCAGTAGTGCCACACCGTTGTTGCTGTCCCATAAGCAGGAAAAGTCACCAACTGCATTAGTGCTGCTCCTTTTCTTTGGACAAGTCTGGAAGTATAAGGGTGCAGACTGTAATGTGATTCTGGACGATGGGAAGGACTTGCCCACATACACTTAGTCCAATGTCTAGCTGACAATAAAATGCATTTGCAATGAAGGCGAGACCTTGCACTGCTGAATGTTAATGCACCTGAATGCTTATCTCCCTTCCTGCAGCTCCTACAGTGATTTTGGTATTGCAAACAAAGGAGGGCACAATGCTAGACAGTCAAAATCCATCTTAGAATTCTTTCTGCCTTTTCCCAGAAATAGTGGAAATCAAGCAGGTTGCACTTTCCTTCCCCCTGCTGCATCACTGTGTTTGGCTCCCTTCCAGTTCCCACTAGATTGATCATATTTTCTATTTCTATTCTCCCCTGACAGCCCTTCTTTGGTGGCAGCGCAAGCATTAATCAAATCTCTGGGAAGATTAAATCAGGAGAAGAAGTGTTAGCAAGTCTCAACGGACACTGGGTAACATATGATAATCAAAGTTGCTGACTGTTTAAGTGTGCGTGACAGCAGGGTACGTGGGAGGACTGGCAGCCCTTGGCAGGCTCCCTGTTGGAGTGGGGGCAGTGGAGAGCCCATGTCCTGCGTCTTCCCGCCATCTCCTGGGAGTGCTGGCAAGCAGAGCTTTCCGGGCCACACCTCTCAAGGCCATTTACACTTCTTCCGTTGTCCCATCCACCTGCAGCGCGAGTAACATTTGCACTCCCAGAGTCTGGGCCAGTGAGGTGCATTTCCATGGAAGCCAGTGGCTCTGTATTTAGGGTCCCAGGCTGAGGACAAGCACTTATGGCAAGAGACATAGTGCGTCTTACGTGTGATTGTGAAAACCATGAGGCTTCCTTTTGTCTTGTGTTTAATACTTCCCCAGCTACAGCAGTATCAGGGAAGAACTTCATTGTTTTTTAAATTCATTATTTTCACAGCAAACCTTTATGATGGAAGATGGTTATTCCCCTGTTCATGAGATGAAGGACCAAGAGGCAGATTCTGTGAGGGTCTATCTGCATGGGCAGCTCAGATTAGTCAGTAGAGCAGCTAGCACCTTTGCACACCTGGTATCCACAAGTGAATCACTCAAACGCATCCTTAAGCCAAAATCCAGCAAGAATAAAGTTGCACAGTGAAGGACGTTGACTAGAGTTTTGGTTGGGAACTCCTAGTAACTGAGGCAAAAGCAGTGAGCTCTGGCTTTGGGCTGGACACTTAGGTATTTGTCTCAGCTACATTTAGATATCTACACCTTCATTATTGTTGACCTATGCTCCCTTTCCAGTCCATAGAAATTGTCACTCCTTGTGATTATCAAATCACAAGATTTGTCTCATGCTAAAGGAGGTATTTAAAGTAGGTCAGGTGAATTGTGCCTGGGGAAAGCCCTTTCTATAGTAAGGTCCTAACTACAGTGTAGCCTTTGGTGTTGTACTCCTCCCCTCAGGCAATCTGCCTTTTATGTAAAGAGCTAATAACCAGTTTGAAATGGGAGATTTGCCCTTTCTCAGTGTATACAAGGAAATTTGCTCCCTGTGCCTGGGTAGCTTCTGCATTCGCATCTCCCTTTCCTGTAGGATGAGCCTTGGCAATTGAGAGCTGTGCTGGACTGTGGAGTACCTTGTCTGTGGTGGGTCCTGCGAACACCACCCACAAAAGTGTGTAATCGAGTGGCTCCCCTGGGGCACTGAGCCACATGGTTGCGTGCTGCTCAGCTTCCAGCCTTCTGTGTTCAGGTTTTATCAGCCTGAAAATAATTTATTCCTCCCTTGTTCTTTGTTCTGGTTGTGGTGCACAAAATTAGAATGATGTATAAAAGAAGTTAAATGGCTTTGAAAGAGTGGCTCCATAAGCTGCTGTTTGCAGTTGCATGCTGTGAATAGAGTAGCTGCTGTGCAGCAGTAGGGACGTTGTTTGTTCTCTTCCTTCCCTGCTGAGAGTATTGGCCTGCTCTCCTGAGCTCTGCAAGCTTTTCTCTGGCACCATACAGTTTCCTGACGCAAATCCTTGCAGCTGAAAGGCTAATTCTGTGCCTCAGGACCTGAATACCCACCTGAATAAAGGAGGGAAGCAAATCCCAATGCTTCTCAGTCCCAGGATCAAAGCAGCAGCTGAGGGCTTGTATGTATGCCCCTTAGAGATGCACATAGTGACTTTTGATAATGCCTGCCTGCCTCCTCCCATCCACATCTGGGGGGCTCTGGGGGACCTGAGATCTGTCCTGGAACTAGCACCTCAGGACATGGCAGAAGAAGTCCTGAGGGAGACTTAAAGGAGGGGTGAGAGTCCCTCAGGGTTGAAAGAGTTTCACAGCTGAAGATGTGGGAAGTGGACTTCGAGATACGCATCAAGGGACCGTGGCAGGGGAAGAAATGCAGCAGCTGGGCCACAAAAAAATTAGGTGGTGACAGGCAAAGCCAATAGCCATGCCCTAAATAAAGTTTGCATGATACTCATACCGTGGCCACACAGCTGAATGGCACCAGTGCACATGCTGTTCAGCAGCTGTAATTGTCTGATTCATTCCACTTGCAGTTAGAATCGTGCTGTTCACTGTGTACTCTGTAAACTACCCCGTTTGGCTCCACGGCATTGCTGCATCTGTGAACAAGACTGCAAAGCAGCTTAGTTAGGCAGGGACACAGCAATATTGTCTAGCCGGGAGCAATAATAGAAAAAACTGGCTAAAAAAAAAAAAAAGTGAAAGAGTATCTCAGCTTTAGCTCTCCTTTCTAGAGAGGGTAGTATTTCAGCAGGCTCTGTGTGAGATTTCAGCACTGAGGAATGGAAGAAAGACTAGAAAAGGAACTAGGGTGCTGGGTGGTACCTGGGAGAAACAGCTGGGAAAGAAGAGCATCGTAGGGCTTCTGTGGGTACCCTTGGCTAGGGACAAGACTTACAAAAGGGACCAGGTCCCTTTCTAATTCTCTGACTAATTCAGCCAGTGTTTCCAGCAATGCCTCACCTCATTCATTTTAGAAACTTTAAGGAAATGTTCAGTGAGATTTAATGGGATAGAGGAGGAAAGAAGCCTTCCAGCCAAGCCCTATCCTTGATCATCATCTGGAAGCAGCTTCCATTTGTCAGGATTATTTTCTGCCTTGTGTTTCTGATTGTCATTAACCTTTTCACTTATTTTTCTTCTCAGGATGGGGAAGTACATATAAATGAGTTGAAAAACGGGAATGCGGAAATGTTCTGGAACCCAACCAGTGAAGTACGAAGGCAGAGACTGAAGCGCCACATTGTGCTGTTTGAGGAGCAGACAGACTTTGAGTCAGAGAGGTAAGGAGCTCTGGGAACACCTTGCTGCCGCTTCCCTGCTGGAAGCGGGGCTCTGATCAGAAGGCTCTGATTCCTCAGCACAGTCCTGGAAAGGCATTGACCCGCTTTGCCTGCACATATTACCCAGCCATTTACCTGTTTTTTTCCAGTCTATTAACTCTGGAGTATTTCCATGAAGTATAGCTCTGAAATAACCAGGGAGCTGGGCTGAGAAATAGTGGAGGCTACATTTTATCTGCTAAAATAACGACTCTCCCTGAACTCCAGAGGTGATGAACAGTCTCTCTAACTGCTGGAACATTTTATGGAAGGGCAAGATGTCAATCTGAGGTCAGATGTCTTGTTAAGAAGGGTTGTTTCAACCACAGGCTCTTAAACTAGACTCAGGAATCATGTGGAAAGCCCTGGCATGAGCAGAGCCGTAGTTTGAACCACATAACAGGATTCTATGAGAGAATGTAATTAAATAGATGTTTAACCCTGCCTCGTAATCTCAGATGAGATCTCCAATGATGTCTGCACCAGCTTTTTTAGGTAATCTAGATTACCTAAAAATATAGTCCTGGCACATGACTTAGGAAATGGAAGGAATGACTAGCTGACACAAAGAGCATCCCCAAGCCAGTTCTTGAGCAAGAACAGCTAGAGCAACATCATGTGGTGCTGTCTTCAAACCAACTAGTCCTGCCATCTCACCAATATGGTTAGCCAGCACCAGCTAACAGTCCAAGCCAGCACATGCAGTTTGCTGCCTGGCTCTGCATTACATTGGCCACTTCCCTGTGGACATCCAGTTTCGGTGTTGCATGACATCACACTAAGAAGATCCCCCTTTTTATGCGTAAAGAAAGGGATTGCATGAAAATAAAAACACATGAACATTTAGTTTGTTCTGGACAGCAGTGGGTGTTATGGGCAACAAGTCTGTATTTGTAACTTACAGTCATGCAGTTGCCATTGTCACAGAGCAGAGCAGACTGCAGCACATTTCTCTCTTAATCTTCTGAAGAAGATTCTTTTACAGGAGAAAAGAAATCTCAGTCTTGCGGACAAAGAATCTCTATTTCTCTTTTTACCAGGGTATTGCCAGAGCTGACTCCCTTTGCTGCATCAGAGATTAATAATGATACATGCATGCAGGGGAAGGATGCAAAAGGAAAATTTCTAGAGATCCCTAACAGATATTCCACCGAGCTCATTATGCTGACAGTTGCATTAATAAATTACCATCTAATCCAGGTTATGTTCTCCCTGAATCGCTTAGTCTTCCCTGCAGTGCTGAAAATCACTTATTTTCACAAACGCTGGAGAGTCTCTGAAGCTTGCACCGTTATGCAGCTCACCATGGAGGGTCTCATTGTCTGACATATGCAGCTCTTGATGGAGTAATTTGCCCTTGTCAAACAATTTTGTGTGTGCCCCTCTGAGGTTCCTGGAGGAATCACTCTTTACAGCACTGCATTCCTTAGGACTGACTCTTTAGCCACCGCAGTATTTTCTCAGGCCGTTATTTTCACTCCTCCCTCCCCCACCCCCATCACTTTGCTGTTGAATTGAGTTTCCTTCCTTTGTTTCTGAGAGAAAAGATTCATACACAGGAAAATGGGAGTGACGTGTCAAAAAAGACAGGAAAGTATTCCTCTGCCTTCAGTTAGTTATCTAAGAGGCTGCTTTTTTGGAAGTGTCGTGTTAACTTACGGTGTTAGAAATACAATAAAAGCATCAGTATCCCTTTTAAATTAAAAGTTTCACAGCAAGTTCCAATTTAAATGCAGTAATGTATTCATCTTCTAAATGGAGGACTGGTGTTTTGTGGAGCTGAGAATACTGGAACAGCCTGGATCTCCAGTGCCTATTCTAACCGCTAAACCACTCAGTAGTGTTTTGGGAGGGCTAGCTGCTAATCACAGAAGTATTTCCAATCTGAAATGAAGATTAGAGTGCTCTGATGGGAGGAACTGTGGAGAGGCCTATCACAGCTTGGCTATAGTTTAAAGAAAAAAAAAAAAAGTAATGATTTTTCTCTTGTAAAAGGCAGATCCTCTCTTCTGGGCAGAGGCTCAGTGAGACTTCATATGACAGATCACGTGTCTTTTGGCAGCTGAAAAAAGTGCAAGTGAAAGCCTGTGTGCTTGCATTTTGTGAGTACAAGTACTTAACCGTTTCTTGCAGGTTGAATCAGCTTCCTACAGATCTGGTTGCTGATCCTATATATAAGTACAACATTGCATGTGCAGCTGCAAGCCGTGCACATGAATTTGCTTTCTAATGCTTCTAAACTTTAAATATAAAGCCTTTGTTTCAGGGATAGACAGTAACATAAAGGCTCCTAAAAGTAAATGATTGAAAGGATGAGGAAGATAACAGATTCTCCATTATACATCGATCACTTCTTTAGAAGTCACTGACCTCAATGAATTGAGTATAACTAACATATAACTCACACAGCACTGAATATTTTAATGCATACTGTAGGTTATGTTATCTAAGGGAAAGTTCCCCTGTTCTTCGGTAGATTGCATTCAGTGTTGCCATTCTCGTAAAGTTCCTTTAATTTACAAGCCAAAACTGAGGCTGAGCAATCCTGTTACAGTTCCTCTGGAGTATCAATAGACCGGAAAAGTGTCTGCTCTGAGGTTCCAGCTGGCAAAATGCATTGTTGGTTTTCAGGTGGTTTAACCTGCTTCCCTATTTATTTCTAGGCTTTGGCAGCACGTTACCAGTGCAATAAACAAAGGTGATCAACACAAGGCGACGCAGGAAAAATTTGTGCTGGAGGAAGAGCAGAGGAATGCTGCCCGGGAGCGGAGAGAGAATGGCACAGAATGGAAACCGCTGCTCTTCCAGCACGACGCCACAACTAACGAATGGCGCTACAAATATGAGGAGTGAGTGGTGGGGTTCAGGGTTATGAACAGACCTCACTGCTTGAGTCCCCAGGGATGTAAGCAAGGTTACAGACCTGTAATTCGGGTCCTGCCATTCCCCAGACTGTGCCCTGGGCTTGCTCTTTCTGAGCTCCATGTCATTAGTAGAATACATATTCGTGATACTAACTGGGAATAGCTGGAAATGAGGGCTTGGCAATGGAAAACCTGCTGTGCCATTGGTACAAATCCCTATTGCTGCAATCACGCGTGGAATCATTTAGCAGAGATTTTCTGCACTGTGTGAGCAGAGTTGACAGCTGTGCTTTCCTCCCCTGGCAAGAAGGGTGAACCCTCTGGAGACTGAACCCCCTTCACTTACTGCTAGGAACTGTGAATGTAGAGGGAAGTATCTGTTACTCCTCACACTGCATCTGCAGAAATTCTTGTTGGTGTCAGGAGTGAATGCTTGCCCTGGTGCATGTGGAATTGGTGCATTGCTCTTAACACACCTGGTGGGATTGTTGCTTTTCTGATATTTTTTCATTTGGTCTCAAAAGTTTAAGACCTTGGGATCCTTTGAATGACATTGCCCAATTCGAGAAGAATGGGATACTTCAGACCATGGAAAGACACTTATCCACAAGGATGTCAAACCACAAAACAACATGCATAAACAATCAAATTACACGGCACAAGGTAAAACGCCTGTTTTGGGGAATATAGTATTCTTTAAAACTGTTTAGATACATAGCCCTTTTCTGCAGCATAGGCTGAAAGGTGTGTTTTGGGTAAACAGAGCTTACTACTCTAGACCTGCAATATTATACCATCATTAAGTCCAAATAATTATAATTCTTGGTTGACATATCCTATCCATTTTGGTGTTTTTCTTCCACCCAGTGTTAGTGACAGCGACTCTTATACTTGGTTACAGCGTGACTGAGCTGAGCTTTACTGTTCAGTGTTTCCAAAGCGGAAAACTTCCCATAGTGAGGGTATGAGCAAGTTTTTTGAGTATACAACTGAGATTCTGTAACTTCAGTTTCGATCTTTACCATCTGCCTTTACCATTTCCTCTTAGACAAGACAAGAAACCTTCTCCATCCTCTCCTTTAAACAGGGATGATACTTTCTTATTTCATTGCATTCATCTTTGTAAAGATTCATCAGCTCGTAAAAAGCTTTGTAAAAGTAGAACTGCTGAACTAGCTAGATATAACCCACGTTACACTGAGGAACTCTTACCTTATTAATAACATAGACTTTTCTTTTATAATACCTCAAAGCTGAATGTCTCTGAAACGATGAGAAAGTTGAGGTTCATAACTGCTGTTCACATCCTCCAGTGAGAAGTGTTTGAATCACTGTGTTTGGTTTCCCATTTAGGAGGTAGGGAGAAACTTTCAAAAGTGCATCAAGAAATTAGGTATAAAAGTTCTATGATGTTTAAATCTTTCAGGTACCTTCTGAAAAATCTTCCCAAGGAAATTTTACTCTAAATTTTTCTTCTTTTCATCCTTTCACTTATGTAGCTGGTTGGTGGTTACGCACGCAGCAAAAAAACTATAAAATTTGTCACTAGTATGTGTCAGTTAAAGCTACAACAAGAATAATTTGAATGGGTGTCTTAAGGATGTTATCATTTGAGGTAATGCTTCTGTACGGGGCATAACTAGCTGCCAGGAGTTGCTATGAAAGCAGTCAGACTTTCCAATCTCACAGATATTCACCAGCACCCTGAGTTATTTTGTTTAAAGCCAAACACAAGAGTCTTCAATTTGACAGTGACCGAGTCTCTTTTAACCCCTGTTTTATCCAGAGATCTGCCAAAGACTGCAGGCGCCGCAAAACCAGCGATCAGCCGTCCAACCACAGCCAGAATACAGAGAGCAGCTGTTCAACACCAGAGTCGGTGCAGGAGCTCTCAGATGATGATGGCAAGTATTTGGGTATCACTGGGTCAAGCTTTAATGTTCTTCCTTTGATACCTTATTCCTTGAGCCAGCCCTAGGACATTTCCCAGCCCAGTTAAAGCCATGGGCCCATAGCCCACAGGCAAACGCGGACGATGTTCTACTTTTCTACTCTCTGTACATACTTCTACTTCTCTTTCTGCCTTATGCTATCCATGTCAACAAGGGCTTCCCAACTCCTGGCACAAACATGTTGGAAAAATACACTGAAATTCCAATAGGCATGAGCTCGCATGAACACATTGGAGAAATACACTGATGTTACAATCGACAGACAGGAAACAGGCTTTGTTTCTGATGCCCTTTCCTCAGCCTTTGTTGGAGGTGACCTTGAATGTTTTTAGAGGCGGGGCCAGGTGTGAGCAGTCCATTCCCCTCCCCTCAGCTGAGGAGAATGCTACAAAATTTGTTTCCTGAGAGCTAAGAAGGAGGCCCAGGCCAGTGTCATAGGACCCATTCCACTGACCTGTGATTTGGGGTAGAAGATTATGTCCCCTGTCCCCTTTTCCCCAAGTTCCTCCTGAGAGCGTGCCCCCTGGCCATGACAATTTGATCACAGCCAGCCACTTGCTGGGTGAACCTGGTTTGTGTTTTATCACTGCCGCCAGAGATGGTGATGCAAAACATAATGTCCTTCAATACTTTGCTGCAGGGTTTGAAAATCTGTGTGCTCAGTGTGGAAAAGAAATGAATCATCTGAAGGAAATTCATTCAGCTGTTTTATCCCTACAGAGAGCCCAACAGGACATACACAGGTAACCATTTTCTCTTATCAAATCAATGGTCTTAATGGGCTAAAAATAACCTGTGGCATTAACTCCTCCACTGGGGCCTTTGGAGCATCCTTATGAGCTGCAGGGCTGCAGTTAATGTTAATGCAGTTAATGCAGTTAATGCAGTTAATGTCTCAATAAGTAACCTATTAACATACCGGAAAGGCAAAGCCACCCCTGACTTGAAAGAGTGAGGAACTCTCTTCCTCCTAAGAGTCTCTTCATGGGGCAGGAAGCATCTCCTCAGCATGTTAAGCATCTCTTGGTACTCCCAACTGCAAAACAGAGGAGGTTGGGAGGGGCTGTGCCAGATCCTGGCTATAACTAAATCTCTGCTAGACAAGAAGGCATGGGGTCTCCCTTCTCGTTAGGTGCATTATGAATTGGCTTGTTTTGCTGCAGAGATGCAGATATGTGGTCTGAAAACTGGGCTCCGTGGGTGAAAAAGCACTAAATTCCCCCTTTTTGTATAAAATGCTAGTTGCTGTCTGAGGTAAGCAGTGAGCTGCTGGCGAAGGGCTTTGCACCGCTGGCTACTGTGGGCAGGGCAGGTATTAACTGCTAGACCTGCTCCAGGGAGCTGTGCTGATTCCCCTCTGTGTAAGGAGCATTATCCAGCCCTCCCGAGACTTCAGTGGGGTGAGATCACACACAAGGCCCACCGTTTCTGGGTGCCAGAGCCATCGGTGATATGGCTTTAGCTTTTCTCTGCTGCTCTTGGGGGTCTCCAGGGCAAGTCCTGGTATTTGAGAAGGTTAGGGTGTAGGTTTGTGAGTGGGTGCTGGATGAAGAAGAGATTCTTGGAGTTTATGCCCTTACACCTTCTCATGCCAACTAGCACGATCCAGCATCTTTCTGTTCAAAAGTCTGCAGGGCACAGTGCTGTACCCGTGAGGGTGTCTCTGAAGTACAGGGATTCCCCCCGTGTGGAAGCTCTGGGTACACGCACAGGTGTGAATGCGCACCTTCCTACAACACCCAAATAAACATACTGCTTTCTTTTCCAGAAACCTCAGTGCTCTGAACAAAAAGTCCTTCCACAGGAAGGTCTCTTCTGAAAGCTTCCTCCTGGACTCTCGCTGTTGGTTTCTCCTCTGCATCTTTCTTACGTGTCAGCTATTCATTAATTATGTCTTCAAATAAAATCACTACGTTTGGCAGCAATAACGATTACTGGCTGCAGGAGGGGAGCCACTCACGCAAGGAGCCCAGTGAGGCACCAAAGCACTTTAGAACCAACGCAACAGAGGTGGAAGAAAGTTGAAAAACGAGGTTAAAAAGGGACCTAGGAACCTGCAAAACTTTGTTCCTGCGGATTATGTCATTTTTGCCTTTTACATGTACATCTTCAAGGACCTCTTAACCTGTATGGGCCTTAATGCTGAAGCCAAATGTAGCTTTAATTGTGCAATTTGTTTTCTATATCTTGTCATTTTCTGATGCAATTAATAATTACTCAGCAGTATTGGTACCCCCAAAATGGTAAACACCCCAGCATTTTGGAAAGGTCACACCGGTGTGGTTCATAGCTCTGCGAGTGTGGGAGTGCAGTTGGGGAGCTGTAAAGGACTGATGTCCATGGTGCCTGTCCGCCTGCATTTAATTATGGAAGGGTGCACACTTGGTCCAAAAAACCCACCCCCAGGATATTAAGTCATGATCTGTTTTGTCAGCACACACAGAATGGGACCTCAGGATGTGTTTTATTTTCCATTCCACAGGAACTGTAAATATGCACAATTTCCTAGAGCCCTTCCTCTTTAGGAAATGGGAAGTATTCAGTGAAAGCTCCTCGTTTGGTTACGGAGCAGTCCTGGTCCGGGCCCATTGAGTGTAACATCAGACACGCCTGTTCATAAAACCTGGTCACTTATTGTTATTATTTGCTGTATAGCTGTTTCATAATATCACACACTAGCACTGTAGAGAGGAATCCACTGCCCCAGGATAGGTGAGAGGGACGGGAGCAATATAGGTGTACGTGTGTTCAGTCGTAGGCACATTTATTGTCAAAGGTCAGGAAGGAAGAAGGGTTTTGCCACTGCTTCATTCAACTCTGTTAATAGTCTTCCTATTTTACACCATTTTTTAAAGATTTGCAATATTTTCTGTAGACTGCGGACAATACTAAGCCTTTCTTTTCTGGCCTGAAGTAGTTCCAAGTGGTAAGTACTGCTATATATACAGCCTTAAAATACTTAGTGGTGACGCCAGTCTGGGCTATCTTTCAATGTAAATGTTTCCAAATTTTTAAGTACATTCCTTGTCATATTCCCCAGTTAGGGGAAACCTATTTGTGCTTGATATGTTGAAATAAAACTACACACAACTTTCAGTGGCAGTATATCTGAGAAATTATTTGTGTGTTTGAACTTGGGTTTGTGTTTTATAGCATTTTACAAATAAACAACTCTTAGGCCGTGCTTTTTAGAGGAAAAGCTACAGGAAAAGGTCTTCAAGAATCTTAGACATAGGCCATAAGTTAGAACAGCAGTAGCACTTTGACACCCCTCTGGCTCAAATTGCCCATGTCTGCTAATTGTAGCAACTTCCTCAAAATAGAAAGAAAAGTGGTTGCCTATTTCGCTGTTGTACATGTAAATGCACAGGCTTGTCTTGGACTTAGAAAACCTTTATATTAAGGAGGTAACTTGATGGAGAGAACCACCACTCTCTCACATGGACAGACAGGATAAGAACCAGCATCTGGAAGGTGTCATTCAAGAAATAGATTGTAAATAATAAAGGGTGAGAGGGACTTCATTATTAGCAAAAGTCTCCAGAAAACCAAAGGATTCCTCATCCTTGAGGAATCATCCTTGAAGAAGGTCAATGCTATCCATCCACATCAGGTGCCTTTTTGAAGGCACCAGTAGTCCTAGTTGCTCCTTTCTGAGAAAGTCAGACCAGTGCCACACGTGGTGTAAACCTCAGTGAGAGGGGTCCCCCTGGCCTCTGCCCATGAATGAAGGTCCAGCTGCTAATAATGCCTGCCTGGCAATGCAAAGTCCCACGTGCGCCCTGAGAACATTGGCTCCCAATGCTGTGCAAACACGTCTGCTGAGTTCCTGCCCAAATCTCCCTTTGAATGCTTCAGCGAGTCAGCACATCTCTGGCCTGTCAGCACAGCTGTCCTCATCTCACACATCCCGCTGTGGGACCAAGTATTCCAGTTACTGGTAGGAGCCTCTCCTCTTCCAAAGGGATATTTACATCTCTTGGGTACAAATGTATTCTGGGTTTGAGACAGAGTAAAAAACAAAATTTTGAAAAAAAATCCTCAGACCCACCTGAACCAAAGCAGTGCTGAGCAGGAAGCCTTCAGTAGGTGTAAAGCAAATGCTTGAAATTCTTTGGATCATTTCCATTTTACCAAACTACACACCCACAGGGATTTCACTGGGACTTGTTACTGCAGTTAAATAAAACAAATGCTGTTACCACGAGAGGAGCAGTTCAATAAAAGAAACTATTAGCCTACATAAACTAATTATGCAACAGCAGAGGAGGATTTTCCAACATTTACTGCTGCTGCCACAGGGGATTAAAAAATAATCCAGAAAGGAACAATCAGGGATCTTTGTATTAATCCAATTTCAACATTTGGAGGTGAATGTCCCTACATGCCAGTTACGTGCACATGGAGGATGAGAGATATTCTGGAGGAAAATCACAGCCAGAAATGTTATTTCTCTAGGAGGAATAACTGCTGTTGGAAAAGTTGAGAACCCTTTTAGGGCTTTAGAAAACCCAGTTAGGCCCCCAGTTTGTGCACTTTTGGAAAAATTCTCTTTCCATCCTTTGTCCCTCCTTTTTGTGATCGGCGAGTAGTCCTTCAGCAACAACGTGAGCTTTGAATGGAGAGGCACCAATCGGGCCGTTTTCTAACATGGTTTCCTCCTGCTCTTAATAGGTGGTGCAAAGCATGGTACCGGGGTGTGTCCTAAGGCACGGCGTGGGTTTCCTTGACTCTAGTGGGCAGGCAGTGTGCTGTTGGGGCTCACGCTTTCTCCCGAGGGCTCTGAAGTGCCGGA